TTGAATGCCCAGTAAACGCACACACACCCCATCCCTTTTCCCCAGTTCAATACACAATCACAATTATAACATCAAGTAGTAAAGCATGATACTAAATAAATAAAGGGTTACAAGTTAGATGTTAGTAAACTAGAAATCTCCCAAAGAAATTTCGTCCTCCCAACCACAAGAATCGGACGCGGATTATTCGATATGCCCCATCTTTTGCTGCTTTGTTGCAAAACTAACCTTAGATGCCTAGCAACGGTTATATACCATGTAGTGCCAGCCGCAGGGCCTCAAAAGAGACGGTAATAATGGGCCTTGCCCAAATCCCTCCTCACACTAAACCACCTAGGGTCCGAATACAACCGCTCCGTTCAAGGGTTCCGAAAACCACTTGCGCAAGACTTTAACTTCCAAATAGGAAACACATCCCAACAATCCATACATCACATATTATCATCTTTTCACTACTCAAGTGATCGAAAATCCAATACCATCCCAATTAAGTTTTCCGTTGAGTTAAATGTTTTAAATCAAAGTTAGACCAACTTAACAAGATAATAATATCCACAAAAGCATGCATCATTAAGATGAAGAAGATAAAGAACATAACCATAACACATATAATATCATGCCAAGATATGATCATAAGCTAATAAGCATTATCATGAATACTAGAGCATAAAACATCCATGCACAATAGAATTTCCAGATTCAATATCACATAAGGATTAGAATGAAAAGGGCAATTCTAGAATTTTTACCAGACTTGGCCTTCCTATGGTTCGTAGAGAATTTAATCTAGTTTCCAGAACATATTTCGGAAATGGGATAGCTTTTCTAGATTTTAAGTTATTTAGAAAACACTCCAGCGCTGTCCAGATTCGTCGACCGTTTTGAAAATTTGATTTTCTTGCAAACCGCTCACTATTTTTCAATGAAACCAATTTTAGTTGAAAGATAACTCCTTAAGGAATATTTTGACATAAAATATAGGCCTAGAATAATTTTCTACATTTTTCTAGAAATTTTGAAAGTTAGCTGCGAAAACAGATTTTAAGGCACAATACCCAAAACAAGAGGATTTGTGAGAAAAGAGATCCACTATGGGAAATTTTTTATTTATTTTGTGATGAAAACATGCTAACTAACATATATTAAACTCATAAAGTTTGCTTGAAGGTGTGCCTTTGGAAAGTTTGAGAGATTGGGGTAAAAACAATAGTTTTGTACCGAAATGAGGGAAACTACAAGAGAGGTAGAATCATGGCTCAACCCTTATCATTTTTAACACAGGTAGCTCATCAATAACACATCTGAAAACAATATTTAGAACCCTTAAGAACATGTATTTGAAAAAGGAAAATGAAAGAGAAGGTTGTGTTGTGGCTTACTTGCTAGGCTTTGAACAAGATGGCTCTCCTCTTCCTTCCTCTCCCTCTCAAGACTTCTCTCTTGCTCTCCTTTATCTCCTCTAGGCCGAATGTGTGTGTGAGTGTGTTGTTTGTGCTTGCCAAGCTAGGGGATAGAGGTATTTTTAGGCAAATTTTGGTGTAAAAAGACATAAAAGCCCACTAGTTGGAATTGGATGGAAAAGTTAGGATTTACTTGGAGTCTAATGGAATAGGAGTGATTAGGGAGCTTAATCTTAGGATTAGACCATATCTAGTTGGTCCCTAGTTGAAATGAAACTAGCATTGGAAACAAAACCCTAGGTTTAGGGGTACTAGGTGTTAGGGTTTCTAGAAGACCATGATTACAATTCTTGAAAATAGGCTCCTTACATCTTCCTAGGGTGGCCGGCCGTTGGGAAGGATGATTGGGGCATTTTTTTTATTCAATCTAGGTACTAGGGACACATTCCCCAATATATATATATATATATATGTATAGATCTTAATTTGATTGATAGTACCTATAATATAAAAGTACATGTACTAGTTTTTGGGAAATTTTTGAATTTAAATAAAGAAGTGAGGGCTTGGAATTAAATTCATGTATTATACCCTTACTTATGTAGAATTAAATTAAATTAGGCTAAGGAACCTAATTCGGCTAGGATATTCCTGTTTTGACAAAAATAAAAATAAAATGCTAACCGACAAGATTTGAAATAATTCAAGGAATTCAAACATTAGGATTTTAAGGAGAATACAACTTTCAGGGGCTTCACAAAACTTCTTTTTAGTCGCCAAAAAGCCTCACTTTTGGCTACTAAACATGTTTTTAGTCGCTGAATGCTTCACTTTTGGCTACTAATTTTTTTTCAGTCACCAAAGGGCCTTACTTTTGGCTACTAAAATTTTTTTAGTCGGTAAAAGCCTCACTTTTGGCTACCAAATAGATTTTTAGTCGCCGAATGCCTCACTTTTGGCTACTAAATTTTTTTTAGTCGCCAAAAGGCCTTTCTTTTGGCTACTAAAATTTTTTTAGTCGCTAAAAGCCATATTTCGACGACCAAACAGATTTTTAATCGCCAAAACCTATACTTTTGGCTACTAAATTTTTTTAGTCGCCAAAAATCTTTACTTTTGGCTACTAATGCATTTTTAGTCGCCAAAACTTTAACTTTCAGTGACCAAATGTGATTTTTTAGTCGCAAAAAATGCTTTTTCTTGTAGTGATTCAATTTGACCAACTAAATAACTTCAACTTGCTGCTAATCGAAATGGCTACGAAATCGCCAATGTGCAAAAATCAAAATCCAAATTTGTTTGGTTATTTAGTTTTTAAAATGAGTTTTTATTTAGTATTTTATTTTTTTAAATTTTTGGTGAATTTTTTTAATACTTTGTGAATTTTTTATTTATTTATTATTTTTAATAAACTTTTTTCAAATGCCGAATACACACATATGTATATATTAGAAGAATATACTAATAGCTATGTTTCTGTATAATGGGATTTAGTGTTTAGTTTTAATAATATCAGTTATTCCAGTTTTAATGAGAATCATTACAAATAATATTTGCATTATTTGTCTAATATTTTGCATGTGTGTCTTTTATTCTACGAAGAATGTGATTTGGTGTGTAGAGTATGGCTTACGCATGGAAGATCGGATCACTAATTCTTGTAGAATATAAGTGGCCAATCTAAGATGGATTTGGACACACCATACGTACGACTGTAGCATGGTGTTTGAATAAGTCTGTCTTCACTACAGAAAATGGTAAAGTTCAACTCATTATGCTAGTATGCTTTGTGTGTATTGAGCATGACCGTCTTGGGATAATTGTTCATCTATTGATTAGATGAGACAATTTACATCACATAGTTATTATGAGTACTTATGCTCTTAATCTGAAAATAATTAATAATCACGTGCATTTAGTGTCAGTCATTTTGATTCATAAAAGAGTGAGATTCTTTGTGGGTCAATTTGGGTGATCACTTTATGTGTACGGTAGATATTGATTATTCATAGAATCCACGTCCCAGTTTAGGGATTGATAATACTCGCTTGAAAAAGCTTATATGTTTTGAATATGTCAAACCCTGCTAGTGGATTTTGTATTCGCCATATCACATAAGCTAAGTGGAAGGTCTCAAGGAAATATTATTCGATTAAATATAATCGTCAGTAATTTATTTAATTGACGAGTATTAGTAATCTTAACGTGGAGAGATAAATAAGTATTTAATAATGTGGAACTCAAAATATAATTTGGAGATTAAAATGGAAATGCAATAATAATTCTTTAGTGGTATGAATTCTAATTTATGAAATTAGGAAATATAATTGAGGTTGAATTAAGTTTTTCTAATTCCGTAGGGAGTCCTAATCCTATTCTACTTCTAATGGTTCTTGTTGTAGCCTATATATATGTGTCATTGTAGCTCTCTAAAGCATAATTTTTCAGGTCTTCGAGAGAGTAAAGAGGTTTACGTTTTCCAACCTACACGGTAGAAGATCGCAAGGTGCAACTGAATTTGGAATTTATCAACTACAATGTTTTGTTCGTGATTTAAACGATATCAAACCAAACAGATCTCGAAAGTATAAACCCTAATTCTGCCTTATAGGGTTTTATAGATCACTGCAATTTTTTTTTGGTCTAATCTATACGCAATGTCATTGGGTCTTGGGAATTTGGTTCCCACATTATATACACTAAATTTAATATATATATATGTCAAACATAATTTTAAAAATATTATTTTATTTTTTGAAGATAAATATAATTAAATCAAGCGGCTAAAAATCATAAACGAAATCATTCATTCTATCTGGTTCTAAATTTTTATAAACACTTTTTTAGTTTTCAATTCATTTTTTTAGTGAACTTTTTTAATAGTTTAGTCAATTTTTTTTAGATGCATCTAATTTAAATGTACTTAAAAAGTAAAATATTTGAGAAAACTATTAAAAAAAGTAAGGCGAAATTTTACCGGATTTTTGTTTTCTTTTGTATTTTATAGTTTTTAGGTAATTTTTTTAAAGATTTTTCACAAATTTTATATTTTTTAAGTGTTATTTAGATTACGTGGATCTAAAAAGTTTTTAAGAAAGAAAGAAAGAAAGAAATTGACAAAATATTTAAAAAGTTCACAAAAACAAAAAATATATATATATTCACGAATTTAAAACTCAAAAACAAATTTTAAAAACTCAAAACAAAATGACTAACATTTGGACTTTTAGATATATACGTCATACATAAATATGTATATATATATATTAAAATTAAAATCCAATTGAAATCATATAAAGTCTGACAATATTATTACAAGTTATAACAATATTTTATTTTTAACAATCACCTCACTAAAAAACTAAAAATAAAAAATCAACAAGAGAAACATTTTGATAAATGTTTGAAAGGGCAACAGTTGAAGTTTTTAAGAAAGAAAGAAAGAAAGAAATTGACAAAATATTTAAAAAGTTCACAAAAACAAAAAATATATATATATTCACGAATTTAAAACTCAAAAACAAATTTTAAAAACTCAAAACAAAATGACTAACATTTGGACTTTTAGATATATATGTCATACATAAAAATGTATATATATATATTAAAATTAAAATCCAATTGAAATCATATAAAGTCTGACAATACTATTACAAGTTATAACAATATTTTATTTTTAACAATCACCTCACTAAAAAAATAAAAATAAAAAATCAACAAGAGAAACATTTTGATAAATGTTTGAAAGGGCAACAGTTGAAACAAAGGATTAATTAGATTATGTTCTGTGCAATGTGCATGTCAAATACTTTGGATTTGAAGGAATTGCTTTTTGATCTTATTCAGCTTGCCAAGGACCTTCTTAATGTCACTCCTCTCCACAGCTAACTCACTGGTGCACTCCAAACCCAACTCTAAAATAGCAAGAAGAATGCTTTGTGAGGCAACCATGTCACTGCGAGTTTGCATCCTCAATAAACCACCATCCACTATTTCCATAATTTTGTTGGGAAGTGATGTGCTTACCCATTGCCTTAAATTGATCTCTGCAGAAAACATTTCATTTGTGGGTTTCTTTCTTGTGAATGTTTCCAAAAGCATCATGCCATAACTATATATATCACCACTTGTTGAGACTCGCCCTTCAAAGCCATACTCTGTATAAAATATGAGAAATATTATATATCATTGATTCTTATTACCATTTTATATCGCTATCTACATGGATACTTATAATTGACTTTCTTGTTTGAAGATAATTATGAAGAAATTAATAAAAACAACTAATATCTTACCAAATACCTTGGTCATAAAAAAAGAAAAAAAAGAAAAAAAAAGGGACTTACTGCCTAATAGATCCTATGATAATTAATAGTATTTTTTATCAAACACTATTAAAAAAGTCATTAATAGTTAATTTTAGTGACAGTTTAAAAATTTTGTCACAAATGATGTCACTAATTATAAGTTTTAGCGGCAATTTAAAAAAATTATCACAAAAAGTCACTAATTTTCAGTAATAGTTTGAAAATTTCATCACAGAAATACATCACTAATTGTAAGTTTTAGCAAAAATTTATAAAAATCGTTGTTAGGTTTTTTAATTGGCAATCCCGTTTGACAGAACTCCTTACAGTTGTAATTTTATTCACTCTTTTGTTTTAATAAGAATGTGAGTGTTTAAAAGCGAATCCAACTGGAATTGTGTCTATGCAGAGGAGTTTGTGATCTTGAGAGGCTTTCATGTTTACCACTTTACTGACTATGTATGGGGGTCTAACTATCTGGTCAGTTCGTGGAGCTCCAGAGGGAAGCGTCCCCGAAGCAAAAAAATGCAGTTGAAGTTATTTGACTGCTCAAGCGGTCATTTGTGCACTCGAGCAGTGAATGGCATCATCCAGTACTTTTGCAGGGCGTTCAAACTTCTGAGAGCATCTTTTCTGCGCTTGAGCGGTGGAGTCTTGGCTTGAGTGATGGGCACACATTTTAGTGAGTTCGCTGAAGCGATGAAGTGGTTGCTCAAGCAATTAGCCTATATGTTCTGCACTCATTTAGTTACACCACTCGAGCAGTGAACTGTCCACTCAAGCAATCTTCGTGTTCCAGTTTACTACAAAGTGCGTTGTTTGCTCGTTTTATGATTTATGCCATCCAGATTCTCAAAGAGGAGAAAAGTATAAAGTGTTCTATGTTGGGGGGTGTATTTATATGAGTTTCGTTTATGTATAAAAACTAATTGATTGATCTACGAATTACATATTGATATCATCAAGGGTTGTTTTATTTTTTACATATTGATCTATGAATTACAAATTGAAAATTTTAGGAATAAAATTGACAAAATTAAAACTTGGGTGACGAAAACAACATAACAAAACGTATATTTTGGGAACCTTGTATATTTTATTCTAAAATGATTCATTTGCCTCGTATTTTCTTCTTCTTCTTCTTCTTTTTTTTTTTCCTTTCTGCCTAGATAATCCTTTAACCTAGTAATCCAATTAATCTAGTAATTAGTGTCAATATTAGGCATGTGGTCCAACATTAAAGTTGATGAAAGCAATATATTGACACTTAACAAAAGTCGTCTACGGTATTTCTTCGACGAACTTAAAACATGCCAAACAAATTAATAATAAATACATAGAAAATTGATTTGTAACAAGTCTGTCAAATGAGAAATATAAAGTAAATAAAGGTAATTAAAACATTTACCTGGAGCAATATAGCCGATGGTACCTAAAGTCTTGGTTTGTATTGCAGTCTTGTTTTTAGCTAAAATTTTTGCAATGCCGAAGTCAGCAACATGTGCAACCATGTCTTCATCTAGAAGGACATTACTCGGCTTCAAATCACAATGAACCACAGGCTCTAATTGACCATAATGGAGATATTCCAGAGCCAATGCTACATCAACCATGATGTCAATCCTTTGAAGGAGATTAAGGAAGGAGTTATGAGAATATAACCACATCTCAAGGCTTCCATTAGACATATATTGCAAAACCAATGCTCTTAACTTAGGGTTAGAGCATGTCGTTATAACTCCAACGAGATTTCTATGTCGAGTCGTTCGCAACACTTTACATTCTACATCAAAACTTCTGAAAGCTCCTTCAAATTGCAAATTTAAAACCTTAACAGCCACAATTGTCCCATCTGAAAGTACACCTTTGTATACCGAGCCATAGCTCCCTACTCCAAGCAAGTTGGCTTCGCAAAAGTCATCTGTGGCTCGTAGAAGCTCTAGATATGAAATCATTCTGTGCTCCGTTGTTGCGTATAAATCTATTAGATTTTGACTTTGAACATTGTTTCCATGATTTCTTTTCACAATATACACACCAATAGAAAAGATTAGCATCAATGCAATGATAGGAAGAATGTATCGAAGATTAATTTTAATCGACTTCTTGGAACCATTGCTTGCACATGGTGACACTTTCAAAATATGATTCCCACAAAGTGCTTCATTCTCCACGAAAGACCATGATGTGAGGTTCATGAAAGGCCCTTCATTTGGAATCTCCCCAGTCAACTTTGTTGCATATAAATCTATTAGATTTTGACTTTGAACATTGTTTCCATGATTTCTTTTCACAATATACACACCAATAGAAAAGATTAGCATCAATACAATGATAGGAAGAATGTATCGAAGATTAATTTTAATCATCGACTTCTTGGAACCATTGCTTGCACATGGTGACACTTTCAAAATAGGATTCCCACAAAGTGCTTCATTCTCCACGAAAGACCATGATGTGAGGTTCATGAACGGCCCTTCATTTGGAATCTCCCCAGTCAACTTATTGCAAGAGAAATTCATGTATTGGATATGTGAAAGTGCCTCAAGAGACTTAGGTATCTGTCCAAATAGATTGTTGTGTGAAAGATCCAAGAAATCCAATGTTATCAAATTGCCCATTGTGTTGGGAATGGGTCCCAAGAATGAATTCCTAGACAGGTTCAAAGACGTTAGGCTTTGAAAAGTCCCAATAACTCTTGGAATGCTTCCTGAGATTTGATTCCAAGATAAATCCATGATTTCCAACACTCTCGATGGTCTAATGTTTGGATCTAGGCTTCCACCTAATGAATTAAACGAAAGATTCAAGTACCTTAAAGTTTCAAGGTTCCATAAACTCGAAGGTATGAAGGCCAATTTATTATGAGTGAGATCCATCTCCTGCAAGCCTCTAAGATTTTCAATGCAACTTGGGATTGATCCAGATAACTCATTTTGCTCTGCATAAAGTTCCCCTAAGTTGCTCAAAAGGCAAATCTCATTTGGAATTGATCCATGAAAGTTGTTACCGCCAAGATACAACCTTTGCAAGCTTTCAATTTCTCCAAGAGTTGAGGGGATATTTCCATTCAGATTATTGTTAGACAATGAAAGTATTGTTAAATTCCTCAAAGAACCAATCTCTTTAGGAATTGTACCAATTAGTTGGTTTTCAGATACAGAAAGTATTTCAAGAGAGTTTGAAAGATTTCCAATAGAATTGGGTAGGGTGCCACTCAATTTATTTTGTCCCACCCACAACTCCACCAAGGAAGTACAATTTGTCAAATCTGTGAGAAAACTAAGTTCAATACTTCCTGGTTTGTTTGTCAGTTGATTTTGACATAAATTCAAACGTTCTAGGTGTTTTAGATTGCCTAAATGTTTTGGTACTGGTCCAGTAAACAAGTTGGCATCTAGAAATAGCATAGTAAGCTTAGAAGAATTGAAGAGAGATGAAGGGAAGTTTCCAGTTAGTTGATTGTGATCCAAAAAGAGCAATTCAAGATTAGGAAGGAAAATGCCATTATTTGTTGGAAGGTTTCCAGAAAAGGCATTCGAAGTCAAGTCAATCTCAGCCGTGGAAGACTTGTTAAAAATTGTAGGAGGTATTGGACCTGTGAGATAATTGAATACAAGGTTAATTATCTTCAAATTTGGAAGTTGTGCCAATCCAGTTGGAACGTTCCCATAAATGTGATTCGCATTTAGCCCAAACTCTTCTAAGCTTGAAATGTTGCCAAAGGAAGGTGGAATAGTACCAACAAGTTCATTTTGTCCGAGAGCAAGGATTCTTAGAGAGGGTAAGGTGTTCAACTCTTTCGGAATTCTACCACTAAATTTGTTACCCTCAAGAGATATCACTTCAAGCCTTTGACAGTGGTGTAAACCCAATGGGATGTTTCCTTCTAACATATTGTGAAATAAATAAAGGGTTTTTAGGTGACGCAAATGGCCTATTTCATCAGTCAAATGACCAAAGAAGCTGTTGTTCCTAAGATCGAGTAGTTGGAGGAAAGAAAGATTACCAACATGAGGAGATATGTTGCCTCCGAGACCCATGTTGCGAAGGTGCAAGCTTGTGACTCTTTGCCTATGTCGGCTGCATAAGACCCCCGCCCAGCCACAAAAATTGGTTTCTTTCGTCCAGTTACTCAACACATTGTTGGGATCATTTTTGATGGATCATTTGAAGCTGAGGAGAGCTAATTGGTCTGTGAAGTTCGAGGAACAAATGGCCAAATCAACCATGCATAAGTGCACTAACAGTGCCAGAGCTCCCATAAGAGAAGCATTGTACAGCCTCCTCACGGACATGATTGAGAAAGAGAGAGAGAGAGAGGATGCTTAAGCTTAAGCTTGTGAAAATGTACGCTCATAGTCATATCCATACATTATATATAGAGTTTTCCATGTAATCTATTCATCAATAACTAACTATAGTTAGATTGTGTTGAGTTTAGAATTAGTTAGAGCCAGAGTCAGGTTAGATGGTTATGGTATTGTATATATCTGAGAGGGATGTATCATTGTAAAGACTTGAAGAATTCAATACAGATTTTATTCTTTTATTGAAATTCATCAGAAACTAATGCTCTCTTCTATGCTTTTGTGGCTTAGCATTGGCCACGTGACCTCTTGTGGGTTATTTATAATGTTAAAGATAAGGTTTAGCTGCTCATAAATTGACATCTCAATTTGAAAGAGCGTTTTAATTAGATAAATCTATTTTTTTAGCGATTTCGGTGATAATATTTGTATGGTTTGAAAATTTGAATAATGTTTGAATTATATATATATATATATATATATATACATATATATATTTATAAAAATGGACTACAAATATAATTTTAAGAATATCCATTTTCATTCATACATATAACTATCAATGTCTATTCATTTTGATTTTTTACATAAATATTTTACTCAACGAGTAATAAAATATAAACGGCTTAATCACCAAAATAGGACCTAAAATAGGCCTAACAAACCCAAACGCTTTTTCAAGTTGAGATGATCAACTTGAAAAAGCCAAACCCAAAAATAATATATATATGGAGGAGAATGCCTTCTAGTCCAAAATTTGGATTGGAGGGCGCTATTTGGGCCCGTGATTCCCATCACGGGTCCCATTTTGATGATCCAAATTATTTATTTTGTCAAATATTTTATAAATTTCATTCACAAAAAAGTTTAGGTCGATCTGTTAATTGTAACATATTTAATTTATTGTATTTATCATAAAAAAATGGACAACAATTGTAATTTTAAAAATAAATCATCAATTTTTATAGTGGTAAACACGATAAATAAAATAAGTCACAATTATCAAATCGACCTAATTTTTTGTATGGATGAAATACACAAAGTGCTTGACAAAATAAATAACTCAGGTCATCAAAATGGGACCCATACTAGGATCCACTAGCCAAAACAACACCCTTTATTCCTCCTCACATATATATATATATATATAATAAAGGGGTCAAGGGGTCATGCTATTATACATATATATATATATATCTTTTTCTGGATCTATATCATATACAAGTTATGACATTTGTGATGTTGATTATCACAAATATTATAACCAAATCTTTTTTTGTGATAACTAAAAAATAATAAGTCATAACCCAACACACATAATCAAAGACGTTTTCGATCATAACTAAAATAATAATAACAATATATCATAACTAACATCACAATAAATCATAACCAAAATATAACTAATATCAAAATAGGTCATAATCAACAATATCAAATATCATAATTAGGACATATAATACAAACCACACTAGTATTGTAGAGTTTCTCTCTTTCTAATATTTAAACTTATGAGAACTTTTAGATGTGTTGATAGATAATTCAATATATTGTGCTTCATCATCACTGTTTTATTATTTACTATTCAAGTTGCATTTTCCCCTAATTGTTATTTTTTCCCCTTATCTAGATCTAATGGCTGGGAATAATTTTTTAACATGATACTAAAAAAATTACCTTTTATCATTAAAAATAATAACGTTACAAGAACCATATTAATAGCACTTACCCCAGATCCTATATTATTGTACTTGAAGACAAGCAAAGTGGGATTGATAAGTTTGAGAAAATAAAGGCTACGAAAATTATGCAAGAGAGGTCACCACCAAGCCACCTTTTTCAATCAAAACTTCAATGATAACAGCTAGCACAAGAAAGTTGTGGCCAGAAACTTGGAAGGAGAGCCATGGCTTGTAATTCAATGACTTCATAAAAATGCCAAATGGGGTCAAGGGAGGTGTACTTGACTCACTTGACTCCATAGCCAGTCTATGGGGTCATTAAATGGTTTGTGAAACCCATAAAAAAAAATAATAATAATAAAATAAAATAAAATATTGATATTATTTAATTCGTCCAAATCATTTTATGACTTCTTCAATTCTAGAGAAAATCATTTAGTTTTGGATAAGAGTAGTATTATACAAACAAATTTTCCTTACAAACTGACGTGTCACCTAAAATATTAATAAATTGAGCCTGATTTCACCACCCGAAACTATTGGGTTAGTTTTGGATAAGAGTAGTATTATACAAACAAATTTTCCTTACAAACTGACGTGTCACCTAAAATATTAATAAATTGAGCATTATTTCACATTCCAAAGTTGTATGGTCCTCTTCCATGACAAACACGGTGACAGAAAAATGTAGAAAAAAAAACGAGAGAAGAAGGGAAGCAAAAAGCAGAGAGAGAGAGAGGAAAGGACTTTTGGGTGTAGTGAAAAAGTTATGGGATTAAATAAAGATCACATGTTTCCTATGGGACCTATGGATAATTTCCCCTTATTTTAATAGTATTAATTAATTTGATAAGATGAATTATTAAAAAAATAATAAAAATGTATATAACTTAATAATATAAGTCTAATAAAAAATGTGTAACCCGATTCAATTTGATTCTGGCCCGTAAGATTTAGACTTAAGGGTGGAATATAGTTTTAATTTTTTTTAAATAAGCTTGGTCCGTACTAACCCATTGATTGATTAAAATTCGAAAAACTCATTAGTATATGGAACGTGAACATAATAGTTGCGGGCCGAGTAAGCCCGACCTGTTCCATGGATGACCCCATAAAAATGCCAAATGGATTCAAACTTTCAACTAACACCTTATTTGTCAATAGACCATTTTAATTAAAAAGTTAAAAAGTCATTAAAAATTATCACATCATTCTATTTATTTTTTATATATTTTTTAGTAAAAAATTTAAAAACTATTAAAATAATTAATTTTCAAACGAAGTCTAATTATTAAGGATATAAAACAAATAGACTTGACTCCCAGTGACCACTTAAAAAAAAATTATAAATAAAGTCACTTCACAAATTTATAAGAAAAATAATTTTTTTTGCACTAAACAACCTTCGGTGTGTATGATTTTAAATTTTCAAAAATAGTTTCAACTTTTATTTTTCGTACTTTGTTGTCTTTCATGAAATTTTTTACTTTCTGTGTGCATAATTTTAAAATTTCAAAAATAGTTTCAGCTTTTATTTTCCGTACTTTGTTGTCTTTAATGGAATTTTTTCATAATTTAGTCATTTTTTATTTTTTAAATACACCTAAACGGTAAATTTTTTTAAAAATTCAACAAATAAAAGAAATTTAAAAAATAAAAATTTATTCAATATATATATTTTAATTAGTGATTTTTTTTAAAATTCAAAATTATTTTATTTTTTAATTATATTTAGAGTAAGTGAATCTAAAAGTAAAAGGAAAAATTCAAAAACTGTTTTAAAAAATTATTACCAAACAAAATGATTTAAACTTCGCAAAGCAATGAATTTTAATAGGTGTAGATGCTTATTTAATAGGATCAAATTATATAAAATAAAATATTAACAATGTAAACAGGAGCCGTTATTGGCGTGACAAAACATTATAGCTTTGTTTGGTTTATGTTTTCAGTTTTAATTTGTTTTCATTGATTTTTTTTTTTCATATTTTGGTCATTTTTTTTTTAATTTTAAATGCATCAAGATTAGATACATTTAAAAAATAAAACAGTTTAATTGAAATAAGAAAAGAATTCACTAAAAATAAATAAAAATTCATACAAATTGATTAAAAAAAAATCACTACAAAAATAAATGGTAGCTCATCTAAAGTAATTTTTGAAAAATCAAATCATACAAACACTATTATTTTACGCATGTGTTACTTAAAAAGACACTTTTACACTCTTCAATCACGTTCCATTGATACAATTTTCCCCATATTTATAAAAAAATTATTTAATGATTTTGGGCAAATCTATGTAACATCTTAACTTGATATTTTATTGATTTAAAAATGCTATGAATTGTGAAAAAGTGTTCCAAATTTAGGAGGTAGATTCTCTTCAGTCTAGGAGGCCGTTGTTTTGGTTTGTCATGCCCCACTTTTTATTTCTCGGAACCATTACCAAATTCAATAATTTAATTCAATTTCAAAGATAACATGCAGAAAACTCTTTACATCAACGAGTAAGAATAAATAAAGATTTTCTCATCTGAATGCAAATTAAATACAACATGAGCATAATTAAATAAATTACCCGTAGGCTTACATCTTTAAAAGCAAAAGAAAGAGTTTAACCTTTGTACATCAATGGCATTATGCCCTCAAATAAAAGGCCCAGTGGCCAACACATAAAGAAGATCCTCGATCTTGAAACCCATTTCGACATTCACCTGAAAAAGGATTAGCGACGTGGGATGAACATAAAATCCAATAGGGATCTCAACATGATCCTAAATTATAGCAACTTACAGATAGCTATGATCATGAATGCTTAGTCTCATACTGTATAAATAATGTGACGGTTTATACAGAAATATATATATATAAGAACTTTTCTCAAGGTCATTCATTTCATTCAATAACATAAACAATTCACTTTTCTTTCTTCTTGTTACCTTTTTCCAAAAATTCATATGTTTATAACAATATCTGAAGAAAACAATTTCACCAAACCCATTACATTTTCTCTCACTTTCCAGACTTATACCTTATTTTCCTTTTCTAA